GTGATGGTGCTCCTGGCTCTTTTGGGGAAAGACAGGAGGAGCGCGATTGTGCTCCCGGCACTCTAGGGGTTAATGCAGTAATTTTAGGGTCTCTTGAATGCAGGAAAACAATTTGGTCCAAATTTGTTATATATATACTAGAGGCCTGGTGCAGGAGATTCATGCATGTCGGGGTGGGGGTCCCTCAGCCCAGCCTGTGCCCTCTCCCAGTCTGGGACCCCTCGGGGGATGTCCACCTGCTGGGTCAATCCAGAACCACTGGCTCCTAAGCGCTCGCCTGCCTGCCCAATGTCCCTAATTGCTTTCCTGCCTGCCTGATGCCCCCTACCTGCTCCCTGGCCGGCCAGATGGCCCTAACTGCTCTCCCCTCCTGGCCTCCTCCCCTAAATGCCTAACTGCTCTCTCCTGCCAGCCTGATCCTCCTAACTGCTCTCCCCTCCTGGCCTGATCCTCCTAACTGCCTAACTGCTCTCTCTTCCTCTCATGCCTTCAGACCCCAGGTAGGAGTGCTGAGAGCTCTCTGCTCAGGACCTTTTATCTATAATAATAAAAGTGCAATGTGCTAATTAGACCAGATAGCCGAACAATCGACCTTCTGGACGAAGTGGGGGCTGCAAGGGAAGCCTGGGTCCTGGGTGCCAGAGGGAAGCTGCTGTGCGCACGCAGCCTGTTGAACAGTCGTGACTGGGACACCATTAGGACCAATTAGCATATTACCTGTCTATATATAGATTTTTATATTGCGAGATAGTATGCAAAAATAGAAATAAAATAAAAATTTTGAGGAACTTATATGTTTAAGACACTATCCTAACGAGTTGTGAGAAAATATAACTTACATTTATGAAAATTGCTATTTTTAAGAAATATTTTGATTGGAAGGCAAGGCATAAATATCTGAAAAATCAAGTACAGGCCAATTAAATTCAGTGTCAAGAACATAATAGATAGTTTGTAAATGGAAGAGAAACCTGGTGGGAATAATTTATTTTTGCTTTAAACTTTAGGAATTTCTCCTAAATTAATGCAGTACTCAGTGCTTTAAAACTCAAGACTGTTTACAGTATTAGACTAATCATAATTTTACCCATGCTTACTTCTTTAACTTCACCTATTTCATTCCTTTCTGTTCCTCTCGCAGAACTCAAATTTTACAATCCTAGTAAACTATTTGTAGTTCTTTTAACACCTGTCCACGTTTTTATGTTTGTCATTCTGCCTGGATTGCCTTGTTTTTCCTTCTGTCTCTCTCTTCCTATGTTCTTCTATTTAACCACTGTCCATCAAAACATATTCTTTTGGAAGCCATTCTTGAAAGATCTACTCCCTCCACAATTTGATTATTTTTATTCTTTTGCCCAGGGGTCCTCAAACTTTTTAAACAGGGGGCCAGTTCACTGTCCCTCAGACCTTTGGAGTGCCGGACTATAGTTAAAAAAAAACTATGAACAAATTCCTATGCACACTGCACATATCTTATTTTGAAGTAAAAAAACAAAATGGAAACAAATACAATATTTGTATTTTCATGTGGCCTGCGGGCCGTAGTTTGAGGACCCCTGCTTTTGCCATTGTATCTAGAGCGTGACTGTATTGTAGCAGTTACCATACTGTTCATTATATTTTTTTTCCCCACTGTAAACATGTGGTGGACTACAACTTTGCACTTTAAAATCTAACATGATATCCCTCAAGCCTGTAACAGTCCCTAGTTAATAGCAGTCTCATACATTAATGTTATTTAAGAAGGATATAGGAATGGACTGGTGAACTTGTCAGTTTAGAAATGTTTTTATAAAAAATAGTTGCCAGTTCTTGTATGGTGGGTAGGTTTGGGGTAGGCAAAAAGCAAAGAAGTATAGGGAGTGAACTGACAGAGGCAGGTAGAAAACAATACACACTAGGGCAGAATTTCTTCAAAGTTAGCATTGTTGAAATTTGGGCCTGGAATTTGTTAGACTGTGCTATCCTGTCATTGTAGACTGGTTAGCAGCCTTAATGGCTTTTCCCACTAGATGCTATTAGCAGTTCCTCAGTTGTGCTAACTTAGAATATCACCAGACATTGCCAAGTGTCCTTTGGGGAGAGGGGGAGAGCAGGAGAACACTCACTGTTGAGAACCCCCATTAGTTGAAACATTGAATAATTTCTTGATTATTCAAAGAATTAAATGCTAGAAAGGTAGCATAGAACCACATTAAAGTAACTTGAATGTTAGGATGGGGAATTTGAACTGTATATTACTAGAAATTTGAACTTAGTGTACATTATTGTGCTGCTTCTCACCTCCCTTCTATTCTCAGGCTCTTGCTGTTTTAAAGTGTGGTTCATGAACTATGCAACATTGATATCACTTTGGAGCTTGTTAAAATACAGAATTTCAGTTACCTATCAAACTTATTGAGTGATAAATCTACATTTTATCAGGATCCCTAAATGATTTGGGTGCACAGTAAAGTTTGAGAAACACTGCTTTGACCACCTTCTCACCTTGCTTAGAGGGATGACTTAGACCTGATTTAGGTGGTAATGTGATAAAAGTTGTGATTCAGGATCATCAGTCTGGTGTTTTTGATTAATTAAAATGAAGAGGTCCTGAAATTATAATGCTGCAGCCATGAGGTTGTGAGGGCTTGAAATTCATTTACTAATTTCTGCCACTTGACTGGAGAAGGGAGCTATTAAAAGGAATAACTAGCAGATCTTTGTAACTGGCTGAATATAAGAAATAAGGGAGGTTTGAAAAATAACAGGTCTTGAACCTTGGTGATTGAGTAAATTATGTTACCATTAATTTAAATGGGAATTTCTTTGAAAAACAGGTGTTAGTGATTGGTAGCAAGATGATAAATAGTTCAACATTTGTTTTTTTTTGAGTTTGAAAATATATAAGCAAAAAATACCAGATGGTTAGAAAATGTAGAGTCAAGACTTATATCAAAGTTGGAGAAAATTAGGGATCATCTGGGTAACTGTGTTTATCAGATAAAAGTTTTAAGGGAGATACGGAAAATGATTGAAGGCCTTTGATAGAAAGTGTCTAACATTAAGGTTACTTATACCGGGAAAAAAATAGGTGGCATGCACATTCCATTGAATAAGTATTAATGATATTCTGGGTTTTTTTTGTTTTGTTTTGTTTTTTAAATATATTTTATTGAGTTTTTACAGAGAGGAAAAGAGAGATATAGAGAGTTAGAAACATCGATGAGAGAGAAACATCGGCCAGCTGCCTCCCGCACACCCCCCACTGGGGATGTGCCCGCAACCCAGGTACATGCCCTTGACCAGAATCGAACCTGGGACCCCTCAGTCCGCAGGCCGACGCTCTATCCACTGAGCCAAACCGGTTTCGGCTAGTGATATTCTGTTTTAACAGTGTCAGTTCTATACTTACATTTTACTTTTAAATATGCTTTATATATTTTTGCTGCACAAATGAATCATTAAGTAGTAGAACTACTTTTTTCCTTTCAGAGTAATAATACCTTTAGTTTCATAGTGGAAATTATGGTCCATTTCACAGTAATTTTTGTACATGCTGATTTTGAGAAGGACTCATCTGTCACTAGGAGAGCCATCTTTGTAGTGTTTCTATAAAATCTTGGTTGCTTATTTGCCCTGGCTCGTGATCATCTTTTGTTCTAAGACTTACCATAAAAGTGTGTGTCTATACTTTATATGTAGTTACTCCTAAATTTATGAAATATGTCTAGATGTGGCTTGGAAGGATATAAATATATTTTTAATTGACATGTAATTTTTTTTTTAAATTTGAACAGTTGAACCCACTGTGAGCTTGATAAAAGGGCCAGATTCTTTAATTGATGGAGGAAATGAAACAGTAGCAGCCATTTGTATTGCAGCAACTGGGAAACCAGTTGCACATATTAACTGGGAAGGTGATCTTGGTGAAATGGAATCCACTACAACTTCCTTTCCAAATGAAACGGCTACAATTGTCAGCCAATACAAGCTGTTTCCAACCAGATTTGCCCGAGGAAGGCGAATTACCTGTGTTGTAAAACATCCAGCCTTGGAAAAGGACATCCGATATTCTTTCATATTAGATATACAATGTAAGTAAATGGTAACATTAGCTTTTTAAACATGTGATGCATTTTGTTTTCGTTTTCTTCCTTTAAAATTATTCTGTATCAAACTGTGTTTAATTTTAATATTTAGTATTCAGAAATTCTTACAGCTTTTCCTTACTGACATTTCCCCCCCCTTAATTTAAAAATATTTTTGTGGAAATTTCATTTAACCAAAACAGTTTTTTTGTTGTTGTTTTTTAAAATATATTTTATTGATTTTTTACAGAGAGGAAGGGAGACAGAGAGTTAGAAACATCGATGAGAGAGAAACATCAATCAGCTGCCTCCTGCACATCTCCTATTGGGGATGTGCCCGCAACCAAGGTACATGCCCTTGACCGGAATCGAACCTGGGACCTTTCAGTCCACAGGCCGACGCTCTATCCATTGAGCCAAATCGGTTTTAGCCAGAACAGTTTTTATCAGTTTGTAAAGATGGACAATGATATTAAAGATATTCTCTAACTTAGAATTATTTAGCTTTATCCTTTTTTAGACCTTAAAAGTAAGGTGGACTTAAGCAAATTGTGGAAATTTATACTTCAAAATGTACAGTACTTAGAGACAAACTACTTCGCCAGTCCAATTATTTTAGCTGTTCATCAATTTTATTGATGCCACCCAGAATGTTTTCTCTTTTCTCAGCAAAAATCTTTTACTTCCTAAATACATTTAAATTATTTTGAAAAATCTATATTCTTTCAGTATACGAACCAAATTTTATTGATTTGTAAGATTCTCATATAGGTAAGACAATATTTTGACACATCATTGGGATAATAATCATCATTATAAATAAGTTTAAAGTTGGCCTAGCTTGTATTTTTTTGTTATGGGATACTCTATTGTGCTTATGTTTGTATGTATGTGTGTGTATACTTTTCACTTTATATTTTTGCAAAGCATTTTAAAAGTTGAGCAAGATAAAAACTGATGGTGCATATCAATAAGGGCAAAGAAAGTGAAAATTAAGCATATTAGAAATAAACTTCTTTAGGTTCTACTGTCATTTCCATCATTGTACAGATCATAAATGTAGATAGGTTTATGAAGTTCTGATTTTTGTGGTTTTTTTTATATAATGCATGGAATTTAAAATTAGTTAGACTTGGTGTAATGGTTTCTAAAGCTAATTCTAAAGATTTTAAAACAACATTTATAGGATTAAACTTGAGAAGATACCTATGTGAATGTTATTACCATTGTATTCTTCAATATGAGTACCTTGTTGTCTCCTTTCTTCTGAGGAGAATCCAATTAAAGTTTCCCCCCTTTCTTACCTTACTTTCAGACTCTTAACTTTTTCCTTTTTCTTGTAAAATGCAGATGTTAATTGTAAGCACTATTGATATTTTCTTAGATATATTTTCTTTTCCTGTATCTAATCATTACTGAAATTTTCTTCCAGTTGTATTATGTATATTATTTTTTGTTTGCTTGAATGCAATCCTAAATACATAAATACATTTTTTCTAGTATAAGATATTGTAATTATTATTTAGATTTATTACCATGCTCCTAAAATGTTGTTAGAGTGCTTATGGCTTTTTCCTCTTAATAGGGACCATAAAACATGTGAACAAAGTTTAAGAAGATATAATCTTATATATAAAATTCATCTCTCAAAATCTGGAGGTATTTTTTGGGGATACATTAATATATCTCCCCTCCTTTTAAAATAAAACTCACAGATATCTATACTATTCTTTCAGCAACATTTTTAGTACCAATTTTAAGTTTCAAAAATGTTTGTTAATTCTTGGAGTGTATAAGAGGCAGGCATTTCTTTTTTAGAATTCTAAAGTAATTATACCTTAGTGAAAGTTTAATTTTTTACTACTTTTTTATAAACCTTGCTTGATAGTAGGTCAAGCTTTTCTGGCATAGTTACAGACTAATATAGTGTTTCTCTAACCTCCCATCTGACCATGTACTATTCATATAATTTACTATGTCGTTCACAGAAACATGGAGGGTCCCTGTACCTTATATTAGTTCCTTACAGAAGTCTTTCATGACAACCTCATCCCCGATCTAAATTAAGCCCTTCCTCTTGTCTTCTCTCTTAGCATCCTATTCTTTTTCATAATAGATTTTAGGTAAATAGGTTTAAATGCCATGTCTCATTGTCAAATTAAGAACTGAAATGTATTTTCATATATATCTATATTTTTCATAATAGGGTTCTTTAAATTTTGCTTTTGGTGATTATAGATTTGTGGATATTCTTACATTCAGTGTTTATAATAACAAGAACTTTAAGTGCTTGTAGTGCTTAATGTTTGGGTACTCATTGTTCATTTATTTACTCATTTGGTCAACTAATATTTATTGAGTACTGTCTTTCACATTGTTTATGTACATTGAGAGAAGAAAAATTTATTTCTATTCTTCTAAAGTTTAATTTACTATGTTTATGCTTTACCATTATATGTTGTATTTATCATTAACAAAAAATAATCTGTTCTGTCATGAATTTATTTTATAGATGCTCCCGAAGTTTCAGTAACTGGCTATGATGGAAATTGGTTTGTAGGAAGAAAAGGTGTTAATCTCAAGTGTAATGCTGATGCAAATCCACCACCCTTCAAATCTGTGTGGAGCAGGTAATAATGTTAGATACTTGTAAATTTATTTATTTAAAAGTGAAAAGAATTTTTAAGTGCTTAAAGTTGTCTTTTATCAGTGTAATACATGGTTATATCAATAGGTGAAAATTAAAGGGTTTCTAAGTGTTCTATTGCACCTCCCCCCACCTTTCTCCCAACCACAGTTCTGTTTCTCAGAAGCTACTTTAGCAGTTCCTTCTGATAGTCCTATTATAGGTCTTAAACTGCTTCTTCTTCATTTAGTCATTTTTAATGCTACCTACTCACTTCTTATGACTGATGAAAATTTAATTTTAGATATACCCCTTCACACATGTATATACCCATATACACACATATTCCTACCTTTTGTAATCCCAATGAGATTGTTACTTTTTTAAAAATATTTTTTTATTGATTTTAGAGAGAAAGGGAGAGGGAGAGAGAGATAGAAACATCAATGATGAGAGAGAATCATTGATTGGCTGCCTCCTGCACATCCCCTACTGGGGATGGAGCCCACAATCCAGGCATATGCCCTTGACCAGAATCGAAACCAGGCCCTTTCCACAGGCTGATGCTCTAGCTACTGAGCCAAACTGGCTAGGGCGAGATTAAGTTACTTTTAGTTAAATTTTGTAATTGTTGTTTGCCTCTATGTGACAGATAAATATTATTTACTGAGAGCTAAATAGTGTATTGGAATTCTGTTTTCTTTTGTATAAGCTATTTTTCCTGAGGCTAGTAATTGGCTTGTTTTTACTTGTGTAGCTTACTATGTATATCCATAATTCTCTTTAATTATGAAATTTTAACTATTACAATAAGGTTTTTATTCATATTTGTACCCCAAGGTTGGAAAAATGATATGTAATAATATGCTTAGTTCCACTGTAATGAATGGCTTTAGTGTTCCTATAGTGGAATTTTATTCCCATTGTGATTTACGGTAATACTAGAGGCCCGGTGCATGAAATTCGTGTACTAGGGGGGGGGTCTCCTCAACCCAGTCTGCACCCTCTCCAATCTGGAACCCTTCAGGGGTGTCCGACTGCCGGCAATTGGACAGCCCTCTCACAATCCGGGACCACTGTCTCCTAACTGCTCCCCTGCCTGCCTGCCTGATCACCTCACTCCCGGCTCCCTGAAACCCACCCCAAAAAGTTCCCCCCTGCTCCCAGTGTCCTGGCGCCCCTCTTCTGGCTGCATACTGAATTACTAACATCTTCAGGACATAGCTCTGTCTTATCCTGCTTCAACTTCAGTGCCTGTCCTGGTGCCAGGGACCTGAGTGGGTTTGCTGAGTGAGTGAATGAGTGAATGAATGAGCAAGTAAGTGAATGAGCAGTCAGCTACCGGTGGGGATAGTTCCACTCTGCTCTGGGCTGCCTGACTCAAATTCCTGGAAGTTCCTGCCCTGCTCCCAGTGGCCCCACTCCCCTCTCCTGGCTGCATAGTTTGCACAGGGCAGAGGCAGCCTAGGTGTGCGTTTTGGCAGATCGGTGCATTAGCACCTGTCTGCTGGGGATCCACCCCGAAGGGCTGTTTGTGGGCGTGGACAGTGGCGGATTGATGCATTAGCATCCACCAGCCCGGGACCCCCACGGGAGGGCCATTTGTGGGCGCAGCCGGTAGCTGACCGGTGCATTAGCACCTGCCAACCTGGGATCGCTGCAGGAGGGCCGTTTGTGGGCGTGGCCGGTTGCTGATGGCTGTGGTCCCGCCACCAGCCCTGGGTCTGTTCCCATACAGGCTGCCTGCCACCTGGGTCTCAAATAGCAGGCCCAGATGGCAGTAGGGCAGGCAGGATGGTGCTGTCCTGCCCTGCCTGCAATATGCAAATTAGCCGCCATCTTTGTTGTCAGTTAATTTGCATATCACCCTGATTAGCCAATGGGAAGCGTATCGGAGGTACGGTTAATTACCATGTTTGTCTATTATTAGATAGGAAACTAGATAGGACTACCCAAGTTAGTGTAGGTACCATTTAAAAATGGTGCCGTGGTTTTTACTGTCACAGGTGTCCACCTGACAAATGATATTATTTTATTAGAAGATCCTTCTTGGTGGTTTAAAAACTAACCATCTTTGTGTATTTTTGTTTGTTTGTTTTTTTTTGTTAATCCTCACCCAAGGATATTTTTTTCCATTGATTTTTTAGAGAGAGTGAAAGGGAGAGGTAAGGTTGGAGAGAGAGAGAAACATTTATGTGAAAGAGAACACATCGGTTGGTTGCCTCCTGCAAGCACCCCAACCAGGACCAGAAATTGAACCTGTGACCCTTCGATGCATGGGCTGGAACTCTAACCACTGAGAAACACTGGCCAGGGACAAAAAACTAACCATCTTTGGATGGAGCATAGCACAGACTTGTTCTGCATTAAATGATGCTTTTAAAAATATTACAGAAATTGCTAAAACACATCATGTACTTAAATGAGATGATGTTCCATTAAGAAAACTATAGATATATCATGAGTAGGTCCATAATTCATTGATAAGTATTTTGATTCCTTTGATAATATGAGTATGTTTTCAAATAAGATGTTTTTCTAATTTTCCAGTTTTCTGATTATAATTCTTGAGAATCTCATAATTTTGTTCTCTCCTCCCCTCCCATTCTAATATGTTGACCTAGGTACACTTATATGAGTTAATATTTTGAAAGAATTATTAGTTCAACTTTATAAAATTAAAAATTCCTAATTTAGTACATGCTTCATTTTATAGTGACTTTTACATATAGGATACTGGTTCTTTCACTAACATCTTAAAAGTTAATATCTTATTTAAACAGCTATCAATAAATAGAGACTAAAGATATATAAAATAATTTCATGCTTTTTCAAATCTAGGTTGGATGGACAGTGGCCTGATGGCTTATTGGCTTCAGACAATACTCTTCATTTTGTCCATCCACTGACTTTCAACTATTCTGGTGTTTATGTCTGTAAAGTCACTAATTCCCTCGGTCAAAGAAGTGATCAAAAGGTCATCTACATTTCAGGTAAGTTAATATCTACTTACAAAATGGGTTACTTGAATTATTCCTATAGTGATAATCATAATAATAATACTATAATTATGGTGGAAATTTATACTTGTGAAGATATAGATTCCTCAGTCTGAGATTTTCCAAATAATCTAAAGATAAAATAAAGTAATCCTATCTGAAATACATGTGCAAAGTGGCATTTCTTTACTTAAATATCAAAATGTCTATACAACAACTTTAAGACCTATGCATATAGTTAAATTTACTGTTAAATAATATTATTTATTACTTTCATAGGTAGTGTGTGCCTTGCTAGGTTCTTTACACCAAGAACAAGCAGTGGGATTTTTTTGTCTTGGGTTGGACACTCGACACACAAGTGTATGATAAATAAAGTAGGATATCAACTTTGATGACCTGGCTTGTTAAATAAAATTGTCACTCAATGTTACTATGCCATATTGGTTACTGAGAGGTAAAGTAGGAATACTACTGAAAATGTTCTAATGAAATAAATTTTAGATGTTTTTTATTGTTAGTCTTTAAACCACTAAGAACTTAGATATTTCGCATTCCATTTGTTTTGCTGTGAAAGTTCTTGTTAATTTGACAGTATAAATTTGAATATTCACAAAATATAGTTAATGCTAAAAACATTGTTTTCTGGGTGTGGCTATAAGTAATAAATTCTCAATGGAATTCTTATTTATACCAATTATGTAAATTATTTTGAGCATTTCTTTACTGACTATAAGAATGCAGCAAATCTTCATGCCTAACACATGGAAAATTATAGGCAAAAGGAAGAGAACCTTGAGAAATACAGGTTGGTATGGTAATTCTATAATAGGTAGTTAGAGTATTCATTTCTGCTCAAATCTAAAACTAAATCAGAGATTTTAGAGAAATTTTAAGCTTGGTTTTATGTTATATTCTCAGTCCTTTTATGATCACTCAACCTAAGAAAAGTCCCCTGTATTTCTCATCACAATTTGTAATTAGATCTTCACTTATTTACTTGCCTGTCCTCACATTTAAACAATTGTATTCACTTAATTTACCACTTAGTTAATGCCTGGCATATGATAAGGGCTCAATTTTATTTTTGTTTTTCATGAATCTCACAAGAAGTTTAGAGCTATGTACATCCCTATCTCTCCCTTTCTTCCAGTAGCAGTGCTTTGGTGGAAATCTAAATAAAATTAGATATTAGTATACTAGTCTCCCTTTTTCCCTTAGAGATTTTTTATTAAAAAAACAAAAGAACCTTAAAGCCACAGGAAATGTATATTTAAAATGTACTTATTTAAGGACTGCTTACTTTTTTCTGTTGTACAAAATTTAGCGTGAGATATTACTTGTAAATCTTAGACCCAATGTGTTACGATTATGTAATCCTATCTAATAAAAGCGTTATATGCAAATTAACTGTCACTCCCTCACGCCGTCAATCCATCACAAAGATGGCAGCGGCCACGGTGCTGGAGCGAGCAGGAGGCTTGGGTTGCCCCAGTGATGGAGGAAGACAAATTTCCTGCCTGCCTGGCTGGCCCTGAGCTCCGCTCAAGACTATAAAGTTTCAATTATAGAAGATAAATAAATCCCAGATACCTGCTTCCAGGCTGCGGGCATGGCCAGCCTGAAAACGGCCATCAGCCCCTCACCCAGGCTGGCCAGGCACCCCAGTGGGGACTCCTGCCCTGAAGGGGGTGTGGTTAGCCTGAAAACAGCCCTCAGTCCCCCACCCAGGCTGGCCAGGCACCCCAGCGGGACCCCCACCCTGATCCTGGACACCCTTCAGGATAAACCAGCCGGCTCCCACCTGTGCACCAGGCCTCTATCCTATATAATAAAAGGGTAATATGCAAATTGACCTTAACAGCAGAACAACTGGGAATGAATGGTCACTATGACACACACTGACCACCAGGGGCAGACGCTCAATGCAGGAGCTGCCCCCTGCTGCCAGCACAGCAGTGGTGACGAGAGCCTCTCCCGCCTCAGCAGCACTAAGGATGTCCGACGGCAGCTTAGCCCTGGTCCCCGCTGGCAAGTGGACATCCCCTAAGGGCTCCTGGGCTGCCAGAGGGATGTCTGATTGCCAGCTTAGGCCCAATCCCCCCGAGGGGCGGGCCTAAGCCAGCAGGTGGACATCCCCTGAGGGGGTCCCAGACTGTGAGAGGGCACAGGCTGGGCTGAGGGACCCCCTGAGTTCACAAATTTCTGTGCACCGGACTCTAGTAATTTAAATATTAGGGCTCAATTTGGGAAATCTCACATATATTGATTACATTGGTGGTAATCCTAAATTCATATATTTTGGCATTCTGGATCCACTTCCTAGTATTCCTGACTTTTGTGTCCAACTGACTATTAATGATTATTAACCCTATGTAGAAGTATAAAGAGACACAATTTCACACTCAAAATTAAGGTCCTAATCTTTTTCCTGCCCCTTGCCACCAAATCTCTTCCTTCATTAGTCTTCCTCCCTTCACTTATTGGTTGCTCTTTCCGTCTATGTCTGAGGATATAATCCTTGATACTTACATACCTTTGATACTTACCTCTCATACCCTATTCAACCCATCAACAAATCAATGTCAGCTTTCCCATTATGTTATATACAGAACTTTACCAATTCTCCACTTCTACTTCAAATATTCTGGTCCAAGCCATCAGAAACTCTACTTAACTGTTGGGACAGCCATTTAATTGTGTTACTTTTAATCTGTTATCAAATGAGCAGCCAGAATATTTTTAAAGGATAAGTCAAATCATGCCACTTCTCTCTTTTAAACCTCCCATGGACTTTCCATTCTCACTTCCTTTAGGTCTTTATCAAATATCACCTTTACAATTGTATTTAAAATTGAAACCTCTCTCTTCTTGCCTCTCTGCCTTATTTTTCTTTACTGTACTTATTGCCATGTGACATACTACATATTTTATTTTATTTATATGCGTCTCTTTTTACCCTAACTAGAACATAAGTCCTAAGAGGGCAGGATTTTTGCTTGCTATAATTACTGCTACATTCTCATCATTGGCAATAATAATAATGCTTATTAGCACATAGTAGGTGTCCAGTGAACTTTTGTTGCATGAATAGATAAATTTGAGAAGAAAGCAATCAAGAAAGAATTAAAAATCGAGAATCTATTTTATGTAATTTTTTTTTTTACAAAGTAACTGGTAATAAACTTCATATATTTTTTTTTATTATTCTCTAGTAAGTCTCCTAAGAATCACAGTTTTTTTGCCACTAAGAACTTAAGGAAAAGATAGCATTATATGACAAGAATTAGACTTCATTTTTTTATCCACGGTGTTTAATACAATACATTATGCTGAGTTTATTTAAATCTTCTAAGAGCTTCTTAGGAATATATCAAAATTCCTAGTTCAAATACTGCCTTTCCAAAATGCTAAAACTTAGTAGGCTTTTATTAGAATAAAAGGTCATAATTCACACAGAGTAAGTTATCAAAGTTAATCTTTTTCATTGGAACTTTTTTTTACTTCAGTATTAAAATTGGTATTTATAGCCCTCAGTGGGTAGAGTGTCAGCCTGTGGACTGAAAGGTCCCAGGTTTGAATCTGGTCAAGGGCATGTACCTTGGTTGCAGGCATATCCCCAGTAGGGGGTGTGCAGGAGGCAGCTGATCGATGTTTCTCTCTCATCTGTGTTTCTAACTCTCTATCCCTCTCCCTTCCTCTCTATCCCTCTCCCTTCCTCTCTGCAAAAAAATCAATAAAGTATATTTTTTTAAAAATAAAATAAAATTGGTATTTATAATTTTTAGAAATAATTAAAAATATCTGTAAAAGGAATGTCTTATGACTGGAGACTGAAAGTTCTACTCAGAACAAAGTAGAGTTAGCAATCCTGTTTGAGAGAAGTTGTTCATAATTTTATTATACGTTTCCTAAGTGGGTAAGCATAAAATTTTGGACAAGAGGTGATTGATTCAAGATTGCAATATTCGACTTCAGTTCTTACTCATGGGAATACAATGGCTCTTTGTCCAGTATGTGCTTTTGTAGTTGCTTTTGCTCTGTATTTTTCCTTGATACCTCTTACTGCTCTCTAAGAATAGGGAAGCACTTTTTATATATCACATAAGTTCTTCCCTGCCCAAAATTCAAAGTACTTATCTATGTAAATCTTGAGTTTCAAATCATACTGATTTTTAGGATCCAGACATATTATAAGACTTAGAATCCACATATTCATAGCAATCCTTAAACTTTTAAGATTCATAGATTTTGTTTACTTAAAGAGTTTATATAAAATCTAAAAGAAAAAGTAATCAATTTAATTTTTAACATAGTAATTATTATGCTAAAATATACTTTATCACTAAAGGGCCTTACTGTAATTTTTCCCCCCCATTTGGCAGAACTCATTAATTTGAAAAAGAAACTTAAGAAGTTCTTCATTTAGGTGTGAAGAACTCACTGTATAGTTCATTGCATTTGTTATATACTCATCACACATTCAGCAAATAATATAAAAAAAAGTCTGACTGAAAAAATAAGAAATGCTGTTGTGAAGGATATTAAATAATGATAAATAAGTACTTATTGGTGATTACAAAATACTAGTCTTTCTGTTTCCTTACATTAATTGTGACTTTCATTTATCATGGAGGAGGGAAATAATTTAAAAATATGAATAAATGTCATATGTATTGCCATATGTCCATTACTTAAAAATACAAAATAATGAAGTATTAACACTAGTCCCTGCGATCATATTAATAGTCAAGGTATGCTATTTTTAACATTGGTTGAGAAGGGGATGGTTTGCTCAAAAATTTCTAGAACCACTGACAAAATAAAATAAGATTTTTAATTGGCATTTTGGGGGTACTTTTTAAAGTTAGATTTATCTGAAAGCTGTAAAGAACAGCTTTCACATAAAGAACATTGCATGTAGAAGTAGTAAATGTCAGATTGTTGGGTTTTTTTTTAGGACACTTGACAAAAGTGTTATATGTCTTATACTTGTTGAGAGCTCAGGTATATGAATTGTTCTGTAAAAATAGCATTTCATTAAGAGCCATCAAAAACTTTAAAATTTTCTGTGCATAAAAATTTGAATTATAAATAATTACTTAGGTGATTGTACTTTTATTTAAATATGCTGTGCCAGTTTATTGTAATACTTTTTCTTTGTGAATCATTGTAAAAATGACACTTAATACTTAAAACTTGACTTTTCTATTAGCCCTCCCTCCTCAGAAAATACATGAGTTGTCTTACAAATGATTAATTTTTAGTTTATTTCTTTTAATAGCCTGGTTCTGTGAATTTGGTTTTATAAGGCTTTATTACTTTAGTACTAGAAATTGTCCTGCAATTCCACAATTGTGGGGGTTTTTTGAGATTTAATTTATTCAGCTAGTGAATTTGTTCTCACAAATTAAAACTCTTCCTTGATTCACTTACATATAATATGATAACTATTATCCAATTCAAGGTACTTGACAGGATTGCCTATTCTGTTGGTTTACACACATAGGAAATTACTTATACTGTACTTATTAAATTTATACTGTACTTGCTAAATTTTTACCACATTCTATACATATGGCATTCCGTGATGAAACCTGTTTCAGTAAGTATATTTCTTTAGCTTGTAATTTTAGAATAACTTATCCCATGTAGATTTAGTATTTTTCTAACAATCATTTTTAAAAACTATCAGTACCACTCATGTAAAAATTAATAATAGGAGATTACCATTTGGGTCATTTATTTTTATCAAAGTGAAGAAATTCAAGATTTTTTTTGTCTCATCCTTTCTTCAAACTCTAGAGTTTTATGCAACATGACCTACGAATACCACCTAATTGATAATTAACCAATCTTTAATTTTTACTGTTTATGTTTAGTTGCTTTTTAATATTAATGGCTATTTTCTCTGTATTCTAATGGCAATACACAGGATCATTTGCATCTAATATTTGAGTATTATTAGAATGTTCTCTCTAAAATATTAGCTACATTTTTTGAAACTCCATCATAAAGCAATGTAACATTTTCTAAATGTTCACATATTTTATCCATGGGCTATAGACATTTTTATAATTTATAGTTTACATGTTTTTACTTTGTGAGTCTCATTTGATAATAGCCCATTTGGCTAACACAGTTTAAATATGCTTTTTATTTTTTTAATTATTAAATAATGGCATGTACTGTATATATCCTTTTTAAAAATTGAAGAGTTCTCTTTATTTAAGGAAAATATTTTTGAGAGAATTATTAAACCAAGAGCTTATTCTATGACCACTTAACAAGATTCTATAGTTTTTCATTCTTTTATAAATTAATTCAGATCTTATAAAAATAAACTATATTAGGTAAAATGGATATTAAGAAAACCTACTTTGATTATTTTCAGTCTTGTTTTTATTTCCTTGTGCTACTGGCCAAAACAAAAATTACATTTTATTTATTTGATTTAATTTTTGGTATGATAATTATTAAGCCAGATATATATGACACTTAAGTAATGTTTTTCATTTAAAAAACTAAGAAAAAACTCCCAACATTTCTCTGAGTACAATATAATGCTTAAACTTAGAATAGCATAGTTTAGGTTTACATCGTATGTAATTTTTAACTCCTTTTACTTTATTGGTAATTGTCAGTTTTGTTATTTTTAAAAAATATAGAAATACCATTACATTCTAATTTAATTAAGAATGAAAAACTATTGTTACTATGAATATATATTCATTAGCTGTGCTGTCTTTTCAACTTGCTGCTGAATCAGCCTGCATTGACATTCTTTGCCTTTCTGTGTCTTGTCTATCTTTACTGTTTTCATTAGATCCTCCTACTACTACCACCCTTCAGCCTACAGTTCAGTGGCATCTCTCAACTGCTGACATCGAAGATCTAACAAAAGACGTAAAAAAATTGCCCTTCCCATTGTCAACTTTGGCAACAATTAAGGATGATGCAATTGGCACGATCATTGCTAGTGTAGTGGGTGGGGCTCTCTTCGTAATACTTGTAAGTGTTTTGGGTGGAATATTCTGCTATAGGAGAAGACGGACGTTTCGTGGAGACTACTTTGCCAAGAACTACATTCCACCCTCAGATATGCAAAAAGAATCTCAAATAGATGTCCTTCAACAAGATGAGCTTGATTCTTACCCAGACAGTGTAAAAAAAGAAAACAAAAATCCGGTGAATAATCTAATACGGAAAGACTATTTAGAAGAGCCTGAAAAAACGCAGTGGAACAATGTAGAAAATCTCAGATTTGAAAGACCAATGGATTATTATGAAGATCTAAAAATGGGAATGAAGTTCGTCAGTGATGAACATTATGACGAAAATGAAGATGATTTAGTTTCACATGTAGATGGTTCCGTAATTTCCAGGAGGGAGTGGTATGTTTAGCAACCACTAAATTTGACTTAACTATGTACAATGTTTCATTCATACTAGTTGATCATTTTCAGATTGTTCATACTTTTTCTTGAGGAAGAATAAGCTTTTACACCTTGATTTTCAAGCTTTTTTATATTCTAATTTGACAGATGCAAATGTAAAATCTGGGTTCGATGTATGTGAGCTGCTTTATAATTTTTTTTTCAATGCTGTACTACTGTCTCAAGATTTAATTTTTAATGCAGAGTAATTTACTGGTCTGAGGCACACAGGTAAGAAGAAATGTCAACATTAAATGTATGACGTTTTTGGTACACAAATTTAAAAAAAGAAAGGAAACTTCCTTGGTATTGTGTATTAAATGTTTACCTAAGACTATAATCTCAATTATAATGTTTGTTAAACATACCTCTCAAAATTTATCACCACTAAATGATACTACATTTAAATTGACTAATTCAAGAAATGTTTATATATATTTTTAGTATACAAAAAATATTCAGTCTAAAGAAACACCTTTCTTTTCAAGCATTATTTTCTAAGTTTCTCTACAAATGGAATCTTTACCTCTGCATTTTAATGAGCCTTGCCATAATTACTGTAGAATGGCTTTTCAAAGATATTTTGTTGCACTAAAACTGTGGTAGTAAACTCAGTGAACATGATGTGTGGAAGAGCATAATTAGCTGCTCAGTATTTTTGGCCAGAATACATGCAAGAGTAATAAAAACATGCCTTTTAAACATCATAATTACAATATTTTTCATCTCTGGAGGACATTTCTTATGTAGTCATGTGAACATGAAATTTGGTACAGTGTTAGTTTGTTTTGATGCTTTATGTCCTAAATATAAGAATAATAATAAAATATGGTACACAGTTAATAATAGTACAGAGAGGGCATTTCAGTATATGGATAAACATGGGCAAACTAACATTGGAATGCCAATTTTAGGAATAAGATGTTTCAGCCAAGAATCTATACAAAGAATTTTCTAGACCATGTTGTTTTAGTCATTTATATTGATATTGTTCAAACGGGTAAATATACAGAAAAACATTTAGATAAACTTGGGAACTTGAGATTTAACAATAAAAATCTGAATTATAAAACCAATCACTAACACTTGCTGATGGATATTGTCAGACCATCCTCCTTTCCCCCCCAAATGTATGTATATGTTTCAAGATTTTTGTTTTTCCAATTAAAACTGGAAACATCATGAGGTTTTTGTTTTGTTTTTGTTACCTAATTCATTAAGTATATTCTTTCCAGAAATGTATCTTTAAAAAAATGTTATATAAATCTTCAAATGTGGATTTTCTTTTGAGGTAATTAAGTTGCTTCTGTGGAATCCTATAAAATTGTAATAATGACAACTATTTTGAAGCCCAAAGAATATGGTTTTTGTATTTTTTTCCTGTTGATTATTCATTTACAAAAGGACTGTATAGAATTGCCTTAGGTGTTTTGCCAGGGAATTGAAGTGGAAGTTAGTAGGAGAATCATAAATTAAATAAATTATTTTGTTAATAAAAAAACAAAGTAGGTACTTTTTTTTTAACCATCCCAACTACCACCCTTTTGATCCTTGTCAAATCTAAAAGAATGGTTTATACGGCAAAGCTCTAACATGGTCATAGAATTTTACAAGTAGTTAAGGTTTTATTCCAAATGAGTATAACTCAGTTTCCTTTGTTTTAACTCTCAGTATTTTCTGAAAATTAGAAACCTATTTTTCCAAACACTTAGTATAAGGCTATAATGTCCATTAAGGATTCAATCCAGTTCACTGATATCTTGTTAAAAATACCTGATTTTAAATATAACTGATATATAAATATTAAGTCTCTTTGGTCCAACTCATTGGAAGAAAAACTCTTGAAAATACTTGGTGAATGAAGTGACTTTTTTTTTTTTAAATTAAGTCTCAGCAATGATATAGCCACAGAAAGATGGATTCTAAATTTTCTTACCATGGATGATTTGTGGCTTTTTGAACAAATTTTATCTTTAGAACAATCATTTGCAATGCAATATGAATCAGCAGTCACATTTATAATACTGTATTAATCTCAACTTAAGTATAATCTGAAGGAAATTAGAACTGTATTTCAAAAAATTGCTTAGTGCCCTGACCAGTTTGGCTCACTGGATAGAGCATCGGCCTAGGGACTGAAGGGTCCCAGGTTCGATTCTGCTCAAGGGCATGTACCTTAGTTGCAGGCACATCCCCGGTAGGGGGTGTGCAGGAGGCAGCTGATCGATGTTTCTCTCTCATCGATGTTTCTAACTCTCTATCCCTCTTCCTTCCTCTCTGTAAAAAAAATCAATAAAATATATTTTTTAAAAAATTACCTAGTGATTATCAACTTCCTGTATATTATGGCTATTGTGCAGTTAGGGTTTTTTGTTTGTTTCTTTTGTTTTTGGCTGGAGAGATGCAAGGAAAACTGCGAGTGAGTATTTGACATAATTCTGTATCTTTAAACTATTTGGCAAACTAAAATATTCCAAAATTTTAAGAATCTGATACTGATGCTTAAGGCTTTCTGAAGCATTGCACTGTTGTTCGTTAGAGCTTTGTGTGTGATTATTGTACATAGAGACTTGTTTTTAAACATGAGTAGTTGTAGGAAATAAACAATTTTCTTAAATTAATTTTTGAATATCAGTGGTGCATAGACAATTGATATATATGAAAATCCTACTCAAAAAAATGAAAGAATAGTATTTTGGCCATCTTTATATCTATTTATTTCATATTCTTTGAACTGGTTTTTCATTTTTGTAATTTAGGTAAGGTTTTTCTTTCACATTGGTTAAAATATTTCTATAGTACAATGGAGATTAATGTAACACTTATTTTTCCTGCCATTCTTTATTAAAATACATCAAAATTTTAATAGGCTAGGGATTACTTCAAAAGTGATGTTTGAGAAGTACTAGTAGTTTAAAGATTTAGTATCTTACCATGTGCCTAAAAGGTTTCTATTTGACAAATCTAACAATTAAAACATTAAGGTTTTTCAACAATAAGTTCTACTTACTGTAAATTGTTTCTGATAGTCATATAGTGAAAAGTTTTATAAAGATAACATTGGCTAAATGTTTAGCATAAGGGCCTGTAAGAAATACAATGTATTAGTGCAAAAATGCAGAAAAATGTAGCCATTTGATATGTGAAAACATCTGAATTGAGTTTGCTTTTGCTTTTGATGAATACTGCTAAAACAAAGTATATGAACAAGTAAGAAATTGTTATATGTAGAAGTAATTAATGTAAAAGGGAAGAAAGGAAGTACCTCTGTTGAAATTTAATAATAATAGTGGAATGATTCATAGTTCAAATTATTTTTCCTGTTTATTGTTTAGAAATGTAACATCTATAAAAAAAAGCTTCTTTCTCAGATTTTTGGCACATTTGGTTTGGATTGAATTTTAATTTGTACCAATACTTTTTATTTTATTTTTTTGACAAGTTACTTATCCAGTGTTGGCCCCAATAGCCATACAACAATCTTTAAGTAAAAGCTTTTTAAAAAAATTATTTATAGAGGCATATTTCTATAACAAGCTATGGCTCTTGTATTACCTTCTTTGTCCTTATGATATTTGCTGGTGTATGTGTAACCTAGTTTTTCTTTAATTAATGATATTTTGTGGGATTTAGAAATCTTATTTCTCTTCCAAATAAGAATGTATCAGGTTAAGGATACATTTAAAGTTCAGGGAGCATCTAAATTGATATGTTAGCCATTTTAAACTTTGCTTTTAATTAATCATTTAATTCTCATCTTATGTATATACATCATGAATATGTTTTCCACCGTCACAAATTATCTTTATAGCTCTAGCTTTAAGTGTTTTTGCTGTCACTTTGACATAAGTCAAATTATATAGATTGACTTTTAATTTGGAATTAACATTTAATATGATTTATAAGTTGGCATTTCGTGTTTTTCACATCGCTTGTGAGCTACTTTGGTTTGAAATGCCATTGTTCCTAATTGTGTGTAATCACCTTATTTTGTGTCTTTGATGTTTAAAATTATAATTAATTTTTTCTAAGCTTTGTTATTTTAGAGCAAGTTGCTGTTCTTTTATTTAAATAACATTTTGACTAGACTAAGTTTTGTTTTCCTTTTATTATACCAATAACAATTCATGCATAAAAAAAATCTTTAGAATAGTATACACAGTATACATACAGCTTTCTGTTTTTCAAAATGCTTTCTGTTTTCTTCTATTATATTCCAGTAAGCGGTACTTTTCTTTTTTAATTGAGTTGTGTAGTGATAAGTTTACATCAAGAACTTGAAACTAAGCATAGCTTACAAAAGCTTTTGATATATGCTTATATATCAGTGTTTTTTAGAAATTTTTTTTATTGATTTTCAGAGTAAGGTTAAAGGAGAGAGAGGAACATTTATGTGAGAGTGGAACACCAATCGGCTGCCTCCTGCACACCTTCTACCAAGGAAAGCGCCTGCAACCCGGGCATGTGCCCTGACTAGGAATCAAACTGGCGACCCTTGGGAGCATAGGAGGACACTCAATCGATGGAGCCACCTTGACTAGGGTCAGTTCTTGAACCTTGATAATAGTTATGTTCATTTCAATTTAGATCTGTTAACTATTCTTTATGCAGTGTGCTTTGATGTCTGAGTAATTATGTCCATGCTGCTCCCTTTACCTGAAAGTCCCTTTCCTCCCTTTTCCACCCTGGGAAACCAGTCCAAATACAAGGTCCTATTCAAATAATAGCTTTATGAAACTTCTTTCCCTTTTAGTATTAATAACTGCTACCATATTCTTGAAAGTCAACTTTTATCTATCATAACTTCACATTTTATTTTAGCTTTTACCTGCCTTCTCTATATCATTGGTCTTCAAAAGGCTTTTCTGTAACCATTGGTTAAAGATTATTATGTACTCCTAATAAGTATAAATTATATATGTGCAGCTATAGAAGTTTGCTCTATGCATTATAAAATATTCAAAAATGAAAGTTTTAACATCTGATAAAATACTTTAAAAATACTTGTTTCACTAAAGCAATAGTATTTGAGGAAACATTATGTCTTTCATGTTAAAAGTTAACTTATGTTCTCACTAAAACATTTTAATTGTGGTAAACACACACACACACACAAAAACAATTTTTTTTTATCTTGATTTTATACTTTTTGATTCAGTGATTTAAAGTTGTGAATTCAGGTTCAGTATATTTTGATAACTTGGTTTTTAGCTATGATAGTTAAAATGCTACCTTTCAAAAACAAGTAGATTCAGATGGAGGAATATTGTTGGGGTTGGGGACCTCTACAGTTTCATAACAACACATGTTCAGAGCTTATCTTCATGTTCAAGATGTTTGGTATTTCCATGTCTTGCTAATCACAATAAACTTAGCCCTCACATTAGTTACTATTCCCGCATAGTACTAGTTTGGTGTGAGCTTTACTGTTAAGAGTGAACGTAAATTTTTATTTTATTTGGACTCCTAATGTGTTTGATGTTTTGTTTGTTTTTTTGTTGGTTGACTCATCACAGTTGATTACATTGCCATGGTTTTACTTCACAATGTAACGGATAAAGTTTGTGTATTACTGGTAAGAGTGACATATTTGCATTGACAGTTTTTTTGGTTTTTTGTTGTTACTTGTGACAATATTATTGGATTATCTTCAGTCTGCCAGTTCTTTTCAAGGATGACACTCACTAGCAATAAATGCTTACTAATAATATATAACATGGATTAGCAGTGATGCCCTCACTTGGTCCATGTATCAGATGGTCACTTCTCACAAGGGCACCCATGTCATTCCCCCTTTACATTTTTTACTCTTAGTTAATTGTAGATAAGTTATTTCTTCACTCAGTTGAGCTCTCATACATCACAATTTGGCACAGGATGCTGGCTGTGCTAAGAGGGAACAATTAAGTGAAGGTGTAACTATCTACTTGATTTCATTCTGGAACTCCACACATGACAAGATATGAATCCGTGTGACAGGTGAACACCTGACACATGGACCAATTGGAACTACCAGTGCCCATGAATACTAGAACAACATTTATTTTTATTAAATGCCCTCTCTCCTCTCCTATTTTTTTTTAGATAAGTGATAATTTCTACACTTTATTGGAAAATATATTAATGGATTTTATGGCTCCACTTCGGGGATTTTGTGCTGTATTATGATGACAGGAACTATGTAAAATTCATCCTTGCTGTCCTAGCACTTAGTGTAAGACTGACACAGATTACTATAGGTAATTTGTTGGATGAATGACTGAGACTGACCTGACCTAAGTAGAGGACTTTTATTACACCGTAGTAAGATAAATGTTGGCTGGATATAGATATTTAGATGTCATATTGAAAAGATAAGTATTAAAAGAGGCTATTAAAAAATAAAAGGATGGGGTTATTTATGCATAAAAATGGCAATACAGTGACATACTGTACTATGGAAGCAAATAAAAGGTGGGAAGATAAGTTTATAAGTATCACATTGACCTGTTAGTCGTGATGGTATTGCTGAAGTTTTGATAAAAGGAATCAAGAGGGAAAAGACACAAAACGTAAATGTTTTATTTAATTGTTTGGACTGGGTATTGGGATGTACCAGTAAGTGAAAGGGGGCTTATAAATGTTTTTAGAAAATTACTATAACGATGTATTTCCATGTATAGAATAGTATTTTTTAATTAAATCTTTATTGTTCAGATTATTACAGTTGTTCCTCTTCCCCCCCCCCTGACAGATCCCCTCTACCTGGTCCCAAATACTGGTTTGGTGGTGATTACCTCCCTTAGCTTTTTTTTTTTTTAGCTTTTTATCTGTGAAGCTCTTTATCTGACCTTCACTTCTGAATGATAGCTTTGCTGGGTAAAGTAATCTTGGTTGT